GTGCAGCCCCGGCCCGGCCCCGCTGCCCTCTCAGCCCGCGGGGTCCGCAGCCGCTGCAGCCCAGCCCGGCCCGGCCTTCCCGGGCCCGGGGGAGCTCCAGCGCCGGGGCCGCTCCCTCTCGGTGCCCGGGGGCTGCGACAGCCGCTGTCACCCGTGAGCTCATCCCTGTCCCAGGTGGGCTCATCCCCCACAGGATTCTGTGTGCTGCCCACGCACTCGGGTGGTTTTCTCACGGTCTCCCGTCCTGCTTTTCCAGGGATTTGGGAACGGCTGCTGTCACGATGCTGGGGCCAGCGCACACGGAGTGAGGCTGCGTCAGAGCCAGAAGGGCCAAACACGAATTCATGCGCCTCTCAGCTTGCTTTTAATGTGAGTCTCCTCATTAAGCATTGAACTTTTCCAGAAGCTGATGGTGAGCTCATTCCTGCCCTGATGTTTACAAGTACAGAAGAGCAGTAGAGTTTCCCCAATTCTCAGAGAATCTCAGAGCCCTTTCCTTCAAGAGTTACCTGTGCAGAGCCCTGTGGGAACCCCAGGCCATGCTGCATTTATCACAAAATCATAGAGTATCCTCAGCTGGAAGGGCCCCACAAGGATCATCAAAGTCCAGCTATTTTTGCTGTGCATCTGGTAATTAATTTTCAGTGGGGATACAACGGCAACAAAAAATACCTTTTGCATTTTTTCCATAAAGACCTGAAATGAGCTCCTGTGGAACAGGAGCTCCAGTGGCTCTGTGAGGGAATGCACAGCCTGACTGCTGGGCCACGCTCTTACGTGTTTCATGTGGACCAGGCCTAGGAGTCTTTTCCTGAATCCTGACTGAGGAACTTTGTTCTGGCTGGCTGGGAGATTTTTGGGGTATTATTTTTTAATGTGAGCACTGTTGATTAGCTGATATGAAAGCAGTAAGCAAACACTGCTGGGTTTACTGAGCTTATTCTGTGCAGTGTAGCTCAATATTTTGCAATTGGGAGGGTTGTGAAACTGACTTTCCGTTGGTTTGGGAATACACATGACTGTGGCTGAATCTGCCAGGAAGTTCCCTGGCTAATTCCCTCTTTTCCATGGGTCTGGAGCAGCCTGGCCCACCCAGACCCTTCCCACTCCTCACTGGGCACTTGCTCCTTGGCTGCAGCACAGCAGGGGCTGCCAGGCTGCAGCGGGCAGTGTGTCAAGTGCCTCTGGTTCTTGGAACAAAGGTTGCTTAAGAAGTGTAAATACCCTTTTATTGCACTGAAAAACTTCGTCATCTGCGTTATAACCCCACAGCAGGGGAAGGGAAACCAGATAATCATTTATTCTGCAGGCTCTTTGCAACTGCCAGTGTTGCTGGCTGGAGTCCTTCAGTGAGTCCATGGAGCTCAAACTGCGAGGAAAGAAGGGAGGGAGGGGAGACAGCCACAACAGAGAGCTGGGGAGAGGAGTTAAACTTACAGACTACATTGCAGCTTGTCTGGGAGCAGGAATTACCACACATGCCTGTGTTTTATCTGTTCACAAACAGCAGCCAAAGGCTTCAGCACAGCCAGTGGGGCAGGACTGCAAACAGGGATGTGCCAGGACGTTGCTGGCTCAGGCACTTTTGTTTTTTTCTCTGTTGTAATTGGGTCTTTCCTCTGGTTTTCCAGGAAGGGAACAACCTGCCTTATCTGTCCTGCACGCCCGAGCACTGATCAGTCACAGGAGGAGCGAGATCTGCACTGGGAGAGGCTGTGCAGGAGAAAAATTCCCAGCTGCTTTTGCCACCGTGGTCTCTAAAGCTCCTGTGTTACAGGTGAGTCTGCTGGAGAGAGAAATACAAGACTTCTACAGAGCAGTTCAAGCTGCAGACAGGGAGAGATATCCAGATGTTCCTTGTAATTATTTAGTATAATAATATATATTATTATAGAGCTCAATTTAAAGAATAACATTGTGTGCTGTGAAGGCTCAACTAAACACAGCTTCAGAAAATGAAATTAAAGGAAGGAGATGGCCAGTGTGAGAGCTGCTGAAATAATACCTGATGTAACAAGAGCAGCACAGTGGTTTAGTCACCCATACAGGAGTGACTAAACTTCTCTTTAGTGACATTACATCTCTTGAGATGCAAAGTCATTGCTGTGTTTCTCAGTAGAAGTGCTAAATGTGTCTTTTCTCTTAAAAACAGCTTTATTTTGAATAAATAAGTGTGAGCAAAGGGACTTTTTGGCCTGGCTGCAGTGATTTGAGTGAGCACTGCGTGGAGAAGGTCAGAATAGGATCTGCCCTTCAGTGGCAGAGGTTGCAGGAGGCAGAACACAAACCCCAGGCTGTCACCTGGCCACAGGCACAGCCACCATGAGGCAGCAGCTAGACTGGCTCACATCAGTCTGAAGACTAAACTTCTTCAGAGCTGTTCTGTCACACCAGTCTCCCAGCAGCCATTAGAACCCAGTTTGGTGGTGGTGCACAGGAGCCATTAAGTGAAAGAAGAAGAGCCTGGGACTGCCAGTGGTCATGTTTATTCCTGAGCTGCTCTGACAATATTGACATGAAGCCATGCCAAGACAGCCCAGCACTGTTTGAGCAAAGTCCCAAACAGGGCGTTGGAAGCAGGATTCAGTGTGCAGGCACGTGTGCTCAGTGTGCTGGCACGTGTGTTCCTTTGTGGCCAGCTCTGAGATTTGGATGAAAATGGGTTTCAGGTTCCCTGTGCAAAGGCACTGACACCCCCTCAGCTGTGGGAACAGTGCACATGCTGCCCAAAGACCTTCAGCACACACTGCCTTCCACTTCTGATGTGCAGAAGGAGGTTCTGGTGTGCAGGTTTGTCAAGAACCCAAATTACTGCCTTGATTCAGATCATGGAGGGGAGGAGAGGCTGTTGGGTGGAGGGTTCAGGCAGAAGCCCTTGGCTCTTCTGGGAAAAGCAGGTATCTTGTACTGTGTTTTGCAGTGCTACAACATGGATTGATTTGGGGTTTTATTCCTGACCTCTAGTGTTCGTGGCTCTGCCTCCTCTCCCCTGGAAGATGCTGGGAAGGATCCTGTGCACGGTGTTGTTCGTGGGAGCCTTCCCATCCCCAGCTGGAGCATCCCAGGGCCACATCTCTGTGGTCCTGCTGGGAGCCACAGGTGATTTGGCCAAGAAGTATTTGTGGCAGGGTCTGTTCCAGCTCTACATGGACCAAGTGAGCAGTGGCCACAGCTTCACATTCCACGGGGCTGCCCTGGCAGCTCTGGAACCAGGGCAGAGGCTGATGTTTGACGTGCTGAAGAAGCTGTCCTGTCCCCCCGACGAGGCTCCCAACAGGTGTGCAGTGCTCAAGGACCAGTTCCTGAAGCTGAGCCAGTACCACCAGCTAAAGACAGCTGAAAACTACACAGCTCTGAGCAGAGAGATAGAGACCCTGCTGCACCAGGAGGGGCTGAAGGAGGCTGGGAGGATCTTCTACTTCTCGGTGCCACCGTTTGCCTACACGGAGATCGCCCGGCACATCAACAGCAGCTGCCGCCCCCCTGCCGGAGCCTGGCTGCGTGTGGTGCTGGAGAAGCCCTTTGGCCACGACCTGGAGTCGGCCCAGCAGCTGGCTGCAGAGCTGGCAGGCTTCTTCAGGGAGGAGGAGATGTACAGGGTGGACCATTATCTGGGCAAGCAGGTGAGCAGTGCACAGCCCCTGCCAGGCTGAGGGGCTCTGTGCCTGGGAGACTCTTGGTGGTCAGTTCTGTATCTGATGAGAGCATTGTTCCCCTCCCAAATCCGTGCAGAGCCTCTCATTGTGATCCAGAGCCTCCATTTTCTCCTGGAATCCTGTCCTGTTTCTCTGTCTTGTGCTGCTGTCCATCCTCTGGGAGAGCAGAGGGAACATGCAGACCAGAGCAGGGCTTCCTCCTGTTGGAGTGCTGAGAGTCCCTTCTGCAGAGCAGGGCTGGGCTGTAGGGCTGGGCTTTGCCTGCCTGGAGCAGAGCTGCAGAACTACTCTGGCCTCCTCCCCAAGGTCAGGGCTTTGGTTTCGCTGAGTAAGCAGCACCTGTCCTCCCCCAGCTCCACATCTCATTACACACAGGCCTCTCTGCTTAGCCATGGCTTCTGGAAGCACTCCTTCATTTGATATGATAAGGAGCTGATGGGATGTTAGTTCTGTGGGATGCTTAGGGGAAGGTTTCTTGCTGCCCTGTGCTGCACTCTGGGCTGGAAGGATTGTCTGCTGCAGGTACAGCTCAGGATGTGGAGCTGCACTGTCCCAGAGGAAATGTGTTCAAGGACATCCCATCCTCCTTTCTCAGGAATGTGATGCCACACTTTAAAAGCAGCCTGTTCCAGCCATGGCAATGTGGCCGGGTCAGCATCTCTACTAAGAGCGGGGGTTTCTTCTGTTTTGTTTTTGGGGGTTTGTCTCCCCAAAAGAACAGATGGCTTTAGTGGTGTAAGCATCAGAACTGATGTATTTCAGCACTTTAGAACCTTATATTAGTCCCAGGATGGTCTGACTCAGCCCTTTGTCCTCTGACAGATATAAATTGAGTGCTCTGCAGTTTGTAGTTCAGCCTTTTCACATGAAACCTCAAAATGCCTCGAAAAGACCTTTAATGTCTGCCCTGGACAGTCACTGGTGACCCTACTGTGCATCCCTGCAGGCTCTCCTGCTGCTTTCCTCCTCTCTGACCCACTCTGCTCTGCTGCCTGTCTGCTGGATGGGGCACTGAGGCAGAGGCACTGTGGGAATCCACTGGGCTTTTATTGGGTCTTTGAATTTTTCCCTTCACAGGCTGTGGCCCATATCCTGCCTTTTCGGGATCAGAACCGACAGTTTCTGGACCCGATTTGGAACCGACATCACGTGGAAAGAGTGGAGGTTGTCTTGAAGGAGACTGTGGATGCTAAAGGTTGGTGAGGCGAGTGTGCAGGGTGAGTGAGTGAGAGCTGGCAGGTTCACTAATAACGGGGAGGTGGCCCTTGAGGTGGGGCTGGTACTGAAGTAAAAAAGGAACAGGTGAATGGTGTGTTGCTCCCTGCAAACAGGGGGACTGTCCCACACTTCCTGTGCTGGAAACTGGCTCACTTCCAGTGTTTCTGCCTCTAAGAAAAAAATCCATTTGCAATTCATCTGGGAGCAGGAGCAGAACCCCCCACCTTCTGCTGCAGAGCTCTGGGGACATTGCTGACCTTTCTATCCCAGTTCTTGGTAAACAGCACTAGATTTGGATCTGATGCAGTCTAAGGCCACTTCAGCTCAGTGCAGCAGTGATGTGCTTGTTGTACCAACCCTTTTGAGCTGCTGTCCTGTCAGACACCAGGCTCACCCCGAGTGTGCCTTTGTGCTGTTCTTTGGGAGCTGCTGTGCATCCTGCCTGGGTGTTTCTGGCCCCTGGGTCAGTCTGGCTTTCTCTGCCTGGTTCTTTCCCCGCCTCTCTGTAGTAGGAAGAGCACTGCAGAGGGACAGTCCCAGCCCAGAGTGGCAGCGTGGGTCTCCTGCTGAAGGACACGGCTGCACTGCCTCCCTGCAATGCTGCAGCATCCCCTCTGCAGTGCTCAGCACAAAGCTCCTGGGCGGGGCTGCCACCCGCAGCACTTCTGGGCACGGCAGGTGCCCTGGCTCCTGCACCATCTGGATTGCTTCCCCACTCACTTTACCTCTGCCTCCCTCCCTCAGCCACCACAGACTCAGTTAATGCAATTTTATCAAACTTGGAGTGGTAATCTTTGGTTTGGCAGCCCAGAGCTCACCTGAGCCTCTTTGTGGGAGAGGGATGCACTGCAGAGAGATCCAGGGAGAACGGCGCTGTCTGCACACAGCCCCAGCCACTCCCTGTGCCCTCTTCTCTCTCAACAACTTTGTAATTCATCATTTGATGTCTTTTTTGCCCTGTGCAGCTTCAGCTGGCAGCCTGGCTCCCAGCAAGTCTGCAGCACTATTCCATTACTGCATGTGCCTTTGGATTAGAGCGGGGGACATAAATTCTCAGTCAGTAGGGGAAGCCTGTGGGCATGATGCAGCCTGCTGCTGGTGACACGCAGCCTTGAGTCACTCCACAAGTGCACTGGCCTTCTCCCACTGCTCCCACCTGCATGAGAAGCCAAGCAGGGAAAGGGGAGTGTGGCTCTGTGCACGAAGTTTTGTCTCCCAAGGGCATGGCTCAGCCAGAGCCTTCTGAGGACAGGAAAACCATCTAGTCCTGCTACAGCAGTGACAACTTTCACTAGGACAGGTTGTCCAAAGCTCTGTCCAGCCAGACCTTGAACACAGCCAGAGACAGGACATCCATCCACAGCTTCCCTGAGCTTGATTGCTTCAGGTTAATTGCTGGGTGAGGAGGAGAGGAGCTTGGAGCTTTGCTCTCCCTGGCACCCACACTGGTGCAGAGGAGGGAACTGCTCACCTGAGCAGCATTTTGCCTCCTCGCCGTGCCCAGGCCGCACCAGCTTCTACGAGCAGTACGGGGTGATCCGGGACGTGCTGCAGAACCACCTCACCGAGGCCCTCATGTTCCTCATCATGGAGCTCCCTGCCAACGTCAGCAGTGCCCAGGATGTGGTGCAGCACAAGCTGCAGGCGTTGCAGTCCCTGTGGGGCCTGGAGAGGAGCAGTGCCGTGCTGGGGCAGTACCAGGCCTACAACAGCCAGGTGCAGGAGGAGCTGCAGGAGGCACAGGGCTACGTCAGCACCACACCAACCTTTGCAGGTGAGAGTTTGGGTTGGGCCCTGGCGAGAGGAGCAGTCAGAGCTGAGGGGAGCAGGAGATGTGAACCCTTGCATGCAGTACCAGCTCTGTGGCTCTAGAGCTCACTGCTGACTCAGGGATGTGTCCAGGCATCCACTGACTTGGGAACTGGGAGCTGGACAAGAGAACACTTGTCGTGGCAGTTAACCAATGATCCAGGGAATGGGAAGAGGAAGAGCTAAGGCCCATTCTTATAAAATCTCTGCACTGTTTTTAGAAGTGGCCTGTAAACTGAAAACTTGCCTTTTCATAAAGTCGAGTTGCTCTCTACAGCTGAGGGGTAAAGCTTTGTTCTCAGTGATGGGTGAACCACAAGGCCATCTCTAGCCATGCTGTGCACATGAAGAGAATTGTCTAAATGATGTTCATACTCAGAAACTGGTTTCCTGCAAGATGAAAGGAGGCTGAACAAGTGGGATAGCTGGGAGGGACCACAGCAGGGGAGCTGGAGAGAGTGAGAATCGCAGAATGACCTGGGTGGGAACGGACTGTAGAGATCATCGAGTCCTGGGTGGGCAGTGGAGTCCTGCAGGAGCTGAATGTGGAGCTAAAGACGCAGTGGCTACCAGAAGAGCTGAGGAGGGAGAGTAATGGGCAGGTGAAGGAGGTGCCCTGGAGTGCCTGCAGTTCAGCTGTGGGGTGGGGTCTGTTGTTGCAGGTGTGCTGATCCGCAGCGACAGCCTGCGCTGGGAAGGGGTCCCGTTCCTCCTCACCTCCGGGAAGGCTCTGGACGAGCGGGTGGGTTACGCCCGTGTCCTCTTCAAGAACAGAGCCTACTGCACTCAGAGTGGCACCCTGAGGGACTCAGGGCACAGCCAGTGTAAACCCAAGCAGATCATCTTCTACTTCGGGCACGGCGCACTCAACACCCCTGCAGTGCTGGTGAGCAGGAACCTCTTCCAGCCTGTCATGCCCAAACACAGCTGGAAAGAAGCAGAGGCTCGGTCAGACCTGCACATCTTTGGGCAGCCGCTGTCTGATTTCTACACCTACAGCCCTGTGAAAGAGAGAGATGCATATTCTGTCCTCATCTCCAACATCTACCACGGCAGGAAGGATTTCTTCATCACCACGGAGAACCTGCTGGCTTCCTGGGCCTTCTGGACACCTCTGCTGGACAGCACCTCCCGCCAGCCCCTGCGCCTCTACCCCGGGGGCGTGGAGAACCAGCACCTTCTGGACTTTGAAATGGTGGGTGGGGGAGTGGCGTTCACCCTGGCAGAGCCAGCGCAGCTGCTGACCCCCAGCGGGCAGATGCCAAGTGATTTCAGGGCGATCCAGTCCAAATTCCGGCACAGTCCCCTGGTGTCGGCGTGGGCCGAGGACCTGATTTCCCAGCTGGCGTCCGACATGGAGGAGGCGGCGGTGAGGAGCGTGGCTCGCTGCGGGCAGTTCCACCTGGCCCTGTCGGGCGGCTCCAGCCCCACGGGGCTGTTCCAGCGCCTGGCCAGGCACCACTTGGGCTTCCCCTGGCGGCACACCCACGTGTGGCTGGTGGACGAGCGCTGCGTGCCCCTGACCGACGGCGAGTCCAACTTCCTGGGGCTGCACAGGCACCTCCTGCAGCACGTCAGGCTGCCCTACTTCAACATCCACCCCATGCCCGTGCACCTCAACCGGCGCCTCTGCGTGGAGGAGGACGGCGGCGCCGAGCTCTACGCCAAGGACATCGTGGCCCTGGTGGCCAACGCCAGCTTCGACCTGGTGCTGCTGGGGGTGGGCACGGACGGGCACACGGCCTCGCTCTTCCCCCGCTCCGAAAACGGCCTGGAAGGGGCTCCCACCGTGGTGCTGACTGAGAGCCCTGTCAAGCCTCACCAGAGGATGAGCCTCAGCCTGCCCCTCATCAACAGGGCCAGGCAGGTGTTTGTCCTGGTTTTGGGCAAGGGCAAGCACGACATCACCACCCTGCTCAGCAGAGTGGGCCGCGAGCCCAGGAAGTGGCCGATCTCGGGTGTCAGCCCCAGCTCTGGCCAGCTGGTGTGGTACGTGGATTACGAAGCTCTGCTGGGCTGATGCAGTGTCCCTCCTCCCTTGTCTGCCTGGCCTTTACAGCCCGGATTTTCCTGCACCGTGTCCGTGTTCCTCTGTTACCGGCGGCAGCTTCATCCCTGGCACCTCCAGCCCTCTGGGAGATCCCAGGCCTGCAGCTCCTCTGACATTTGAGCCTGGAGAGAGCTGGGCTCAGTGTCCAGAGCTCAGGAGGAGCCAAGAGCCCAGGGCAGCATTTCTGGCTCTGCTCTGACTTCTGACTGACTCTTTGGACAAGTGACCTCACCTTGAAGTGCCTCAGTTTCCCTGTCAGGCCTTTGTGCTTATTGGCATGTAACTACCTCAGGGGCACTATGGGAGACTCCTTACATCAACTGCCTGCCAAATTCTTTGAAATGGTATGGAATTCTCAGGCTAAAAGACAATAACAACACATTCATCCCCTGCCCTGCTCAGTGTGGCTGGGCCAGGGCTGAAGCTTGGTGCTCACAGGAATTGTTGGGTTTAGCTAGCAGAGAAATCTTTCCTTTTTAAACAAAAATGTCCATGTTAACTTCATTCCAGTTCTTTTGTATTTGGTTTGAGGGAACAAGTTTTAGTGAAAAGCTGACCTATGTGAGAGTAACTATATTGGTACGAATAATGGAGTTTATTCCTGTCTGACAGGTGACTGTGGCATTGGAATTTGCTTATTTTTGCACTCTTGCTTGGTAATATGTGGCTGGAACCTCTTGAAATAAATAGAGGTTTATTTGCACTTTTAAATAAGCACATGGGTTTTTTCCCAGGGAACTACTGTTCTTTGCAGCAGAAAATAGGGTTTATTTGTAAAGTGTCTATCTAGAGGGTCACCCCAAAATTTATCCTAGGTTTTATTAAAATCCACTAAAAGTTTCCACATGTTTTCCTTTGGTGAATGGAGCTGTCTGGGTTGTTTGGGAGACTTGTATTTTTATTTTTTTTCACACAGACAATTCCTGTTAAACTCTTTAATACTTAGCATTTGCTAAATGAAAACCAAATCTTTTTGAATATACAAGATTTATGACTGGAGAGACTGGATGGGAAGAAGGGTTAAAGGAGCAACAAATCCAATGAGAAGGAATGGTAGCAATCCACTGGGCTGTAGGCCAAGGAAGCAGGGCTATTTTTATTCTGTGAGAGTTATTAATAGAAGGTGTGCATCTACTTGAGAGCTTGTATTAACCTTTCTTTGCAAAGGCAGCTCCATGGAGTAACTTCTTACAGTCTGTTTCTCCCAAAAGTGATTATTGATACCAATTTTTATTAATTTTTTTCATGTCAAGTGCATTCCTACAATTCAATGGTGTGATTATTTATATGTTTAACAGAAAACTAACACTGGAAATAACTCATTTTTCACTTCAACTTTTATAAATGAAATTGTAAAATCTTTTTTTTTCCCCATGAGTAAAGTTTAATGGTTCTTTTCATGTTGTTTAATGAATGAAGAATTATATTTATAAAAAATAGTTTTTAACGAGAAGTGTCTTTGAGTTTCTCCCAGAGATGGGTGGTCTTTCCCTGTCCTCCTGGTGAGTGAAGTTCTAGGTTTCATTTGTTGCAAAGTGGACACTGTGGCTGCAGTACTGAATGTTCACTCTGACTCTTGATTGGTTTTTTGGTGTCTCATCCAGACAAGGCCAGGACTTCTCAAAAGGAGGAGCAGCCAAAGCCCTTTTAAGGTGAGCAGATGGAATCAGCCGATGCTGTGCAGGGTCCTGGAACGGGCAGGCCTCAGGAAAGTCTCCCCTGATCCACATTTACTCCCTGAGTTGCATTTCCATGGATACTGTCACCACAGCACGGAGCTGCTGCTGACACAGTTCACAGAGTTCTTAGCTCTGTGGATCTGCGAGCTCAGGGGTTCCAGCACCAGCTGAGCTGGGACTCGGGGCTGCCAGGGCCCTGTGGAAGGTTCCAGAGCCGAGTCCTGGCCTCCACTTCAGCCAATTCCCAGAGGAAAATCCCACCTGGCACCTCCATGCCACAGGAAGAGCAGGCACAGGGTGCCTGGAAAAGGGGAGGAGGAGCACGGCAGCTTCATCCCAGTGCTCCAGGGGAAGGCTTCGTTTTCCTGGCAAGGGGAGGATTTCAATCCGAGGTTTTCTGGCTGCACTCCTGCTGATTCCCCAGTGCTGGATGCAGCTGGAAGGGCTCTGCCACTCACTGCTTTGCAGGGCAGGGATGTGGGGCCAAAGCCTCCCCAGATGTTTCAGGAGTAGCAGGATCAGTGGATGCCCCCCAAGCACGGGGAGCAGAGGTGGTAAAAGGAGAAAAACTTTCAGTGTCTTAACGCTTTTTTAAAACAAATTTTTTGGTGCTGTGCTCTATTTACGCTTTGTCCACAGCTCAGGGCAATCCTTTGTGGGATTTGTGCCTCCAGATTTGCCGCCTGCCTCAGCAGGGACGTGCTTTAGTGCCTTCCTCTCCCAAAAAAACGATTGGAAGCGTGTCCATTGCCTAAAAAGGGGCCAAGAGAGGAGAGGGAGCGGGGAGAGCAGAGAAGAGCCCAAATCAGGAGCTGCAGCGACTCGAGCTGTCCCCGGAGCTGTCCGGGCTGCAGGATGGCCCCAGTGCAGTGCAGCAATGCAGAGCTGGCACAGGAGCTGCAGCAATGCAGAAGCTGGCACAGTGCTGCAGCAATGCAGAGCTGGCACAGGAGCTGCAGCAATGCAGAGCTGGCACAGTGCTGCAGCAATGCAGAGCTGGCACAGGAACTGCAGCAATGCAGAGCTGGCACAGGAGCTGCAGCAGACTTTGCCTCAGTTTCCCCTGATTTTTCTCCCTCCCCGTGGCATCTCCTGGCGCATGGCGCAGCCCGGGCTGCGTGGCTGCTGCTGCAATCCGTGCATGGACACAAAGTGCTCTGCAGGAGCCTTGCTGGAGAGCCAAGGCAATTTTTAAAGAAGGTTCCGGCGTTTTTCTCGTGCTTTGCTTTCCGTGGCTGGGGGAGGAAAGGGCTGGCACGGTGTCCGTGTGTCCGGAGATTTGCTCCCAGCGAGGAGGGCGGTGAGATGTGAGCGGGGAACGGGAGCTCAGCTCTGGGGCTGGAGCTGCAGCCGAGGGCTGGGTATTGCCCACGTGGAGAAGGAAAACCTGGAGTCAGATGCTGGGGAAAAGGGGAGCTTGTCCTCAGGGACAGGGAGAAAATGAGAGCCAGAGACCAAACGCTGTGTGTCTGTCCGAGGTGTGCACATCCCGTTTGGGAATGTGCTTGTGGGATTAATAACTGGGGAAAAACAAAAAGGGAGGGAG